CTTTCTTTTCAGATATGGATGACTGCCTGAAATGCCCTCAAGATCAATATCCAAACAAGGAACAAGACAAATGCATCCCCAAACTGACCACCTTTCTCTCTTATGAAGAACCATTAGGGATCAGTTCAGCCATGGTTGCTGCTCTCTTTTCTTTGGTCACACTCCTGGTGTTGGGAATATTTATTAAGCACAGACATACCCCAATAGTCAAGGCCAACAACCAGGATATCACCTACACCCTCCTCATCTCTCTCCTGCTCTGCTTCCTTTGCTCTTTCCTGTTCCTTGGATATCCCAGGAACATTACCTGCTTTCTCAGGCATTCTGCTTTTGGCATCATTTTCTCAGTAGCTGTTTCGTGTGTGCTGGGCAAAACTGTCACTGTAGTTCTCGCTTTCATGGCCACCAAACCGGGGTCCAGCACGAGGAAGTGGGTGGGGAAAAAGCTGTCCAATTCCGTTGTCTTTTTCTGCTCCCTCATTCAAGTAGGCATCTGCATAATGTGGCTAGGAACTTCTCCTCCATTCACTCACATTGACATGCAGTCACTCACCAAAGAGATTGTTGTGAAATGTCACCTAGGCTCTGTCATCATGTACTATTTCGTCTTGGGCTACATGGGTCTTTTGGCCGCCATCAGCTTCATGCTAGCTTTCCTTGCCAGGAAGCTGCCTGACACTTTTAATGAAGCCAAATGCATCACCTTCAGCATGCTTGTCTTCTGCAGTGTGTGGCTATCCTTTGTTCCAACTTATTTGAGCACTAAGGGGAAATACGTGGTGGCTGTGGAGATCGTCTCTATTTTAGCCTCCAGTGCTGCCCTCCTGTGCTATATCTTTTTCCCCAAATGCTACATTATTTTACTGCAGCCTAGTCTGAACAGCAAAGAGCAGCTTATAAGAAGGAAAACATAGAGAATCTATCCTGTGCTAACTTTGTTGGAGGAGTCATTGGCCTATTCTAGGAAGAAACTTGTGCTATTGTGTATGCTGACAAAAGAATAAAACCTGAGATGGCATGACCATAGTTGCTCAGTGTCCAAAGGTCCAGGTTTATTTCCAATTTCATACTTTTGCAGATATTGAGGATATGGGTGGAGGAAGCCCCACTGATCTCAATGGGATGCAATTTTATTCCTTACTGTGCATCTTGTTCCTTGATGAGAACTTAGGTATTATTTTGAAATAGAAATAATTGAGTTTGGCATGTTTTGTGTGATGATACTTGGACATAGGATGATGAGGATGATCTTTATGTATTTATTCATATAAAATTGATGATGATGATGATTACTACTCTTTTATTTAGATATCTAAATAGCGATTCCTCCCCACATCGGTGAGTTATGTTGAATCCCATGGAGTGGTGGTAATATATGCAAATTAATGAACACGTTCAAGTACGCTAAGATATTGTTGTTGCTATTTATAGCAGAATGTGGAGGCAGGTGACCTCAGTTTGTAAGCCACAATTGTGCTATACTCTCTTGGGGACATTTATTCTCAAGGGACAAGTACAGTTTTCAAGCAGACACATCAGGAAGGCTCTTCTACCCCTGTGTCTGGAGGCCCATTTTGCAGGCCTCATCCTTCTCATCTGAAGAGTCTGTGTCAAACTGGCCTGGAAATGTGTGCCAGAAAACCTTATTTATTTATTTATATTGCGATTTATATCCTACCTTTTTCCTACAAAGGGCTCAAGGCAGCTTACATCATCTCTCCTCCTCCATCTTATCCCCACAACAACCACCCTGTGAAGTAGGTTGGGTTGAGAATCTGTTACTGGCCCAAAGTCACCCAGCTGGCTCCATGGCTGAGCGGGGACTAGAACCCAGATCCTCTGAGTCCCAGTCCCATGCTCTTGACCACTACACCAAACTGGATCTCTTTTTGCCTCTCACTTTCCCAACACCTGGCTTTCTGTCTACCTAAGTGTGTGTGTCTTTTCAATGCTATCATTAGTTCATTTACATGGAAAATTTAGCTTTGCATATGTCTCAACCAGTAGACCAGATTCCTGGTACATAGAATCAAGAGTAATTCTTCCTCACTACCACTGCAGCACAACATCACTTCATGAGACTGGACCATGATCCCCAGTGGAAGCATGCAATTCAATATGTTCCACCTAATCGTGGAATGAAGGGAAGCTCAAGGCACCAGCTGCAACATTTCTGTTTCTAGTTGAAACTTGTTTCCTTCAGCCCAGTAATACCCTCATGCCAAATCCCATTTAATATTCAGTTAGTGCTTCCTGTGTGTTTTCCTATCAAGAGGAACAGACAAATCAGTCTACTACAAAAAATGCCAAAGTAAAAGCAATACACATGAACATCTGTCTGTAATTATCCACATCACTGTAATTAGTGTAGTGCAACAAAGCTTCAGCAGCTTATGAGCTGATGCTAGAAACGGACTCAATCACTATGGAGAAAGTGCTGATAAAAGCTTCCACTTCTGCCTTTAAGACATGGGATGAGGAGCAAAGGGCAGGCAGGACTCCTTCAGCTTGAATTTTTGAAAATGTTCTTTTGTTCTGTGGTTTCAAACTGGTTTACACTGGTTGTTATTTAAGACAAACTTCTGTAATATTTTTAATGCTGAGTTAAAAACAAGTCTCGTAGGCTTCTCTTTGAAAGCAGCATTGGCAGAAACTGCTTCTAGGCATTGGAAGTAGTCCATTGAGTGGGGAAGTGATAGACAACCCGTGGTGAATCAGCAGTAGGTGGGGTCAGGGAGGGGAACTGAAAGGGTCCTGCCCTGCAAGAAATTACGCATTGCAAAATTTTAAACCTAGACAGGACAAGTAGCAAGTCTGTCAGCAAACACAGGAAATCTGCTCCAGAGAGGTTTGCCTCTGCAAGGATGAAGAGGTTTCTGGCATTACTTCTTCTACTGACTTTCAAGGAATGCAAACGAGATATCTCAAAATGCTCTGGGAATGATCCCATCCTAGTTCCTCATCAGTGGTATCAGCCAGGGGCCCTTATCATTGGTGGTGTCACCTCCCATATCTTATACATGTTAAATGAAGCTACCTTCAAGAAGCATCCATTTCAGGAGCAGGGCTTTGATTTTCCATTGTAAGGAACTTATTCTTCCACTTCCTGTACCACAGGAGATAGTGATGGTGATGGTGATGGCGATGGTGATGGTGATGATGATGTAGTAGAAAATAAGAATTATGAAATGACCTCTAAGTAGAGCCAGGCAATTTGCTTCTCATTCATTTCTGTTTAATTATCTCATGTTCCTCAACTGGTCTATAATATACCTAGGATATTGTCTTCCCAGGGCTGTGTTCCTCCCATTATAAAAAGAGTTTCTCTGTGTTGTGTGTGTTTACATTCAAGAAGAAAGTAAACATGTTATTGGAATGAAAGGATCTGAGCAAACTGGATTTGGCCTCGGAACAGGAACCCTGAGCCCTTGCAAAGTACCCAGGCATAGGGAGGAGTGACGAAAAAAGCATTGATGCTGAAAGGATTGAGCCTGTACCATGCATACCACACTGATGAGTGGAGTGGAGAAAATTTCACATTCAGTGAAAAGCTTCTCCCTTGATTATTCTTCCACAGGCAAAAAATTGAGAAAATCAGCTCCCAGATATAACCATTTATTCCATACTTATGTCTGATGATCTCTATAGAACCTGGTTATGACTGTCACATGAATAATATTGAACACACAGTTACCATATAGAATACATGTTGTTTACTACAGGAGAATTGGAAACTCATTAACTGTAGATTTGTTCTTCTTAGGTCTAACATGTTTGGTGAACAAATAAGCAGCAGAAGTAATGATTCTGATGCAAATGGGGCTGTGTATTCACTCTGGGTTTCATTCCAAACTTAAAGGGAGCTAAGGCATGTACCCAAAATAAATTCAACACTTCATATCTCATGCAAATTTTGGTATACAACTCAAAGTGAATATTCTGTCCCCTAGCATCGCAGCTATTAATCTTGACAGCCAGTAAGTTGTTTAGAATGGTAACAGCTTCTTAATTAGAAAGTCATATTTACACAAGATCAAGTGATGCTTTAGGTCTTTTTGGGTAAAGCAACTCTGCATTCTGAAGGAAAATTGATTACATAACATAATTCATCCATGAAATCTTGTAAAACTTTGCATGCAGCATGATGATCAAGCTCTATCAGCACCTCCTGGCTTTGGCATTTGCTGTAAGTGAGATCAATACAGATCCTTGGATTTTGTCCAATGTCACCCTTGGCTTCCACATCTATGACTCCTACTTCTTTGAGACAATGACCTATCGTGCCACTCTGGACTTGCTCTTCAACTCATATGTGTTTGTACCCAACTATGAATGTGGTGCACAGAAAAATCGAATGGCCACCATTGGGGGATTTGCCTCTGATACTTCCTTCCACATGGCAGATATTTTAGGTCTCTACAAGATTCCACAGGTAAGAACTTGGCATGGAGACAAGAGTACCCCTCTATCATTCAAAACATCTCCTCCCTCTGTGTGTGTGTGTGTGTGTGTGTGTGTGTGTGTGAGAGAGAGAGAGAGAGAGAGAGAGAGAGAGAGAGAGAGAGAGAGAGAGAGAGAGAGAGAGAGAGAGATTAGTATACCCAATAAATGGATGGGTATAATTGATTGTAAACCACATTTCTTTTAGTGTTTAAAACAAACTATCTAACTAACTAACTAACTAACTAACTAATGAAAGAGTCAATAGCTTCAGGTTGTTTGGGGGAATATATACTTCAAAGTTGAGTGACAGACCCTTGATAGATTTATTTACAATACAATATAGCTAGATTTCTGGAAAAGCAGTGATTTTTAACACTGATATTTTTCATCAAATGTAAATGCTGAAATAAGGACCTTGCCACACCAAGTATGAGTCATTTCATAAAAATCATTTCTCTTACCCTATGGCTAGACGTAATGTATATTTTCTTTAGCTGGCCTATGGCGCATTCCCCCCAGAACAAAGTGATACAACTTCCTTCCCTTCCTTCTACCGCATGGTCCCTAATGAAATACATGAGTATTCAGGAATTGTGCACTTGCTTCAGCATTTGGGTTGGATCTGGGTTGGACTCTTCATTGTGGATGATGATAGTGGAGCATATTTTCTGAAGACCATCGAACCTTTGCTCTCCGAGAAGGGAATCTGTTCTGCGTGCACAATTAGACTCCCACGCCATGGTCGAATCTTTACTAACAATAAAGAGGATATTAGGTTTGTAAATATGTTTGAATCTTGCATGAATACTACTGCCAGAGCATTTGTTAACTATGGTGATACTATGACTATTATGTGGCTGATCACCTTCAAAAATGTCTTACTTCCTGACTATATGGAAAGCTCATTTGTTGACAAGGTGTGGATTATGACAGCACAGAATGAGTTAATAGTAACAGGGGTTACAAGAAGATTGAACTTAGAAATGTTTCAAGGAGCAATTTCCTTTGCAATTCACTCAAAGCAGCCTCAAGGATTCCAGAAATACCTTCAGAACTTAAGACCTCAGTGGACACAAGCAGATGACTTCCTCTGTGAGTTCTGGGAACAAGCTTTTGAATGTTCAAGTCCAAATCCCCAGGAGCTAACACAGGACGATAAAACATGTCTTGGGGAGGAGAAGTTGGAAAACCTTCCCAGAACTGTTTTTGAAATGAGTATGACTGGCCACAGCTACAGCATCTACAATGCAGTCTATGCCATAGCACATGCTCTGCACTCCATGCACTACTCCAGGGCCAAGCTCAGAGCAATGGTGCACAGCGAAGAACTTCATCTCGACCATCTTCAGCCTTGGCAGGTAGCATTTTAATGGTGTAATGACTTTATTTCTGTGGTCACATCTGAACAAAAGAACATTGAGCTGTGTCATCTGTGAAAAGAATTGGAATGTTGAAGGAATGTTGTCCATGGGGTCATGATGGGTCAGACATGAATTCAAGACTAACATAACAGTGTTAGCAGTAGCTCAGGTGATTCTGTTGTTACGTATTTATGTACCAAGTGTTAGAGAAGAGGCCTTGAATAGAAAACCTAAATAAATACATGATGCCAAAATTTTAGGTAAAGATATGCCCAAAATTTGTTCAAAAGTAGCAGCAGAGAACATCATCATGGTAAGGAATTTCAAGGAGATCAATCATGCTTTGCAGAATCTGTTTTGTTACAGGAAAAAGCGGGATCCTGGAATTGTACTATGTAGAACAATGCCGACTCATGGTGCCAATGAAAAAAGTCCCAATCCCATACACCCACTGACATGCTTCTGTACATAAAAGAACATAGAGTTGAACCGGAGAAGGTCATTCAGCCTCATTTAATTACTATGCAATTGTTTGTTTTTCCATTTTTATGGCCCTAGTGTAATTGGTATTTATTTGTTTATTTTTAGATGCCATCCCAATACTAAAAGCCTCTGGACAGCTTACAAAAAACAGAAAACAAAAAGCAAATCAATTATAACAACAGCACACAGCACACTGCATCCAATAGGATAAAAACAAGGATTAAACCAATTAACTGTTAAAATATTGGGAGAATAAAAAAGTCTTTGCCTGATGCCAAAAAGAATAAAGCAACAGCACCAGGCAAACCCCCCCTGGGGAGTGTGTTCCAGAGTTGGGGCACCATCACTGAAGAGGGTATTCACATTCTGATGGGTATATCTTTAGAACAAATGAAACCATGAGTCTTCAGATGAGAATTTTTGTTTAATATGAGATCTCATTCTATTTGTGTACATCTTGACAACAATAGTTTAGAATCCTGTAGGTATCATGTAGGGCCACATTGTGGGCTCTGTCCTATTTTCATATGGCTTTCCTGTGCGGTGAAGTTTGTAACAGTGCTCTTTTAAACCTCATCAGTAGATGGAGGAGCTCCATTTTCTCAAAGCCATGTCAGAAGTGGCAAAGGATTTAGCACTGGATGCACCAAATTATTCAAGGGAGCTCCCATCTTAGAATTAGCTAAGGAATCAAAAGGGTTATATAAGTAAATCTTCCAGCATAAACTTAAAATAGTGTTGAAAAGCAAACCATACCAGCTCCACAGAATGTCACTAGGGTAATGGGGCTGACACTTCTGATCAAATATGCATAACATGTAGCTGGAACCCTCAGTGCTTTATAACCATGTTTGCTCCACAGTTCAATCCCAATTGGCCATATGTGAATGCAAGACTGGGATTTACAAATGGGAATGTACTTACGGACAATCTAATGCATGTTTAGACAGGAAAAAAATGTTCTGCAACTCTCAGCTTTTCCCAGCCATCTGGATCAGCTGAGGAGTTCCAGGAACTGAAGGAGTATATTGATGTGTAAAGATGGTTTTATTTGTGCTCTTGATCTTGTGATGTCTGCTCCTGGCCAGTGTTCAAGAGGCAAATCTAGACAGCATGCTAAAAAGCAGAGACATCACCCTGCAAACAAAAATTCATATAGTCAAGGCTATGGTTTTCCCAGTTGCAATGCATGGCTGTGGAAGTTGGACCATAAGGAAGGCTGAGTGCCGAAGAATTGAGGCCTTTGAATTGTGGTGCTGGAGGAGACTCCTGAGAGTCCCTTGGACTGCAAGGTGATCAAACCGGTCAGTCCTAGAGGAGATCAACCCTGACTGCTCTTTAGAAGGCCAGATAATGAAAATGAAACTCAAATACTTTGGTCACCTAATGTGAAGGAAGGACTCACTGGAGAAGAGCCTAATGCTGGGAACAATTGAGGGCAAAAGAAGAAGGGGATGGTAGAGAATGAGGTGGCTGGATGGAGTCACTGAAGCAGTTGGCATGAGTTTAGGTGGACTCTGGGGGATGGTGGAGGACAGGAAGGCCTGGAGGAATGTTGTCCATGGGGTTGTGAGGGGTCGGACATGAGTTCTTGACTAACTACAAGTGGAAGCTTAAAAGTTCAGCCACACACTGTTTTCTGGAAAGTGGTAACTTATCCATTTGTCACTGGTTTCCCTCTTCTCTTTGTTTTTTGTTGTCATTTCCCCCCGGCTCACAATGGGCTACTTATGATTATGCCTTTCCACCTAGTTCATGTTTGCCCTGTGGCAGAGGATGAAAAGTTAGGCAATTTCAGAGAGCCAGTGGACCCAGCCAGTGAAAGGATTGTGCATTCAGCTGAGATAATTCAGGACAACAGTCACATCTTATTAAGGAATTTTAGAAGTATGTCAGTATGTGATTTCCAGGTAACGGGCTAGAACAAGTACCAGGCAGCATCACTGAATGCGCACTGAAAAAGGTTGACAACAGGAAGAGGCAAGTTCCAAGCTGAAGAAGAGGGCCAAACACTTACTGGATTCCTAGATGAAACTTTCTGATAAACAGATTATGAAAACATCTCAGGAGTTCTGTCTTCATTCCAATTAAAATGGATATGACAACATGTTCCTCACCAAACTTCTGCTATATTTTATTAAGCATCAAACAAACAAGCAAACACAACCTTACTTTGTTCTGTGGAGGTAGAAAGGGTGCCTTTCCAGCATTGTTTGCCACCTTTATTTAACAATTCTTACTTGGGACTGGGAGAGTTTGGTTTCAGAACAGAACCATCCAATTTTAACAAAAACTGCACAGTTCTTCATTTTCATGAATTAGAACAAGTGGAAACAAAAACAAAACAAAACAAAAAATTAGGATGGTTCACATCCATAGAGAGAGGGAGAAACTAAATCGAATGGATTCCTCTATTCTGAAAAACAGTTTGAGGGCTTAGTTCTGAAAAATCTGGGCTTCAATCCCTTTATGTTCAAACCTGGTCTGCATGATTAAGTAAGGAATTTCTTTTGTTTCTGGCACACTCATAGTTTCCAGATATACGTAGGTAGGAGACCTTTCTGTGCTGGGAATCACAGTGCAGATAGGTGAGAATTTTCCTTCTATTAGTTTTGCAGATTGTGCTAATAATTTACCAACATCTTCATACCCAGCAGCTACACAACAAGAGATGTACTTTATGGTTCATTGTTTGTAAATTGTCAATTAATGTAGGAGAAATTGAAATAGATTATATGTCAGTGTTAGTTGCTCCATCCTGATTGAATAAGCAGGTTTTGTCACACACCCTGAAATTCTGGGCATCCCTGAAAGTGATGGGAAAAAATCAAGGAAGCTTTAAAAAAACTACTCTTTGTTACTTTTTCTTTCCACTAGTTGCATTCATACCTTCAAGGAATTGCATTTAATAATTCAGCTGGAGAGGAAGTGTCTTTTAACCAGCATGGAGAGATAGTGACTGGATTTGATATAACTAGCATGCTTTTATTCTCCAACAACTCCTTTGTTAAAGTAGAAATTGGGAGGGTGGATCCCAGTGCTGTTGAAGGAAAACACTTCATCATCCATGAAGACTTGATGGAGTTACGCAGAAACTTTAACCAGGTGGGGAATCCTTGAAGGATGCTCTGTTATCAAGATACATGATACCTATTCATGTCCCTTGATGAATACCTTGACCACGTCTAGGGAGGTGAAGACCAGCAAAACTCAAGTTCATTGAAATACTGCAAATTCTATGTCTAAGCTTATACTTTCATGGGCCCCTAGCATATCACAATGCGGGCTGGCTGGCTGACTCTCTCTCATAAATCATCCATATATTTATAATCTATTTTTCACATGAACCTGTCATCAGTTTTCATCTTTTAAATCTATGCATTTTTCTCCCATTAACATAAAAATGTGCACATTTTAAAAAGCACATTTAATTCATTTTCAAATGTATGCATTTTTAACCTGTATAGTGATTCTAATGCTGTTATTTGTTTCCCCACCCAAGCAGGTGAATTTGATGTGTTCAGCTTAGTATGGGATACCTAAGCTTTTTAGCCATGTGGGCCTATTTGTCACTTTTTCATGTTCCCATTTGCATGTTCCCTTTGGCCACCTTTCCTTTTCCACATAGCCTTGCCAACTCACCTCCTCTTCATCCTTCTTCTATTAGTGTTGCTCAGGTGAACATAAAGGTGAATAAAGAAGAAGTAGTTGTAAGAAACTTGGAGGTGATCTAATTTGAACGTCAATAATAATAATAATAATAATAATAATAATAAAAATAAAAAACAACTGAGGATTTGTGCAGTTTTGCTGACCCCACTCTGGCTTTGTTGTTTTCTTGTTTGCATATTCTCCTGTTTTCAATTCTCCATTGATATTAAGGGATGCTGGAGTCTTGACTGCTGTGTTCAGAAATGTACTGGTCATTTGCTTATTTGGGTATACCATGTTCTCTATTGAGTCATGTTACCTATTTGTTTATTTCCTTGCATTTCAGTTCAACTTTCCTCTAACATTATGTTATCTCATCTAATTTCCCATCATTTTTAAAGAATAGGTGCTTCCTGTTTCTGTTTGCAGTGACTCCTGCAACTTGGGCTTTCAGAAGAGAAAGCAGGAAGGGAAGAAATTTTGCTGCTATGGTTGTGACCCATGTCCAGAAGGGAAGATCTCCAACCAGACAGGTGCATGACAGAGGGCATCTAACATTCTAAATCCCAGGATTAATAGGCAGACAATCATTTTCCAATAGACATCATGAATCAAATCATCAATTTGTCTCTGTGTGTGTGTGTGAGAGAGAGAGTGAGAGAGAGAATATCCTTTGAGTACTTGTACAAGATTGAAGGCTTTTGTGATTACTCAGAAATAAAAGCTCCGTAACAAAACCTGATATTTGTGCCATTGGAAAATTTTCAGAATTGCAGTTCTTTAACTTTGTCCATTCATGACAATTGTACCTCCTTTCATCGAAACAAAAAAGGATAAAAACCTGCAGCTGTCAAAAATTGTTTGTGGGTCCATAATGATTCTATTGACAATATTACATGTGTTTTCCCCATATATTCCATGGCTTTGGTATTGAATGTTGACCATTCTCTATTTATGAAGACAACTGATAAATGACTAGAATATATGCATCTCCATGCTAAGTCAGAGTTCCATATGATATTGACTCCAGGACATGGTAATTTTCCATATTTTCATACTTAACGTATATGTAAGGAAGGAGATTGTGATGGCAGTGTAATCCACCAGCATGCATGATATGCGTACATGGTTGTACATAACATGCTATAAATTTAGGATTTACTTATTCTCCGTAAATATTGGTGCAGTAATGGACACTATATCTTTTCTTCATTTCTAGGGTTGGATGAATATTTACAATGCCCAATGGATTGGCAGTTAATGCACAAAGTTACAAGGTTTACAAAATGGCTTTGCATACTGATTCAGCAGGTTGAAACACTGGGGCTGCAACATCACATTTAATAGTATATTCAGAGTAATTTTCCATTAATGTTGGCACAGTGACTGACAAAATATCATTTCTTCTTTTTCCAGATATGGATGAATGTTTACAATGCCCAGATGACCATTACTCAAATGAGAGCAGAGACCGATGCAACCCCAAAGTGATAACATTTTTGTCTTATCAAGAACCTCTAGGAATTGGCCTAGTCTCAGTTGCTCTTTCTTTCACATTGGTCACAGCTTTGGTGCTTGGAATTTTTATTAAGCACAAAGATACCCCCATAGTGAAGGCCAACAACAGGGACCTCACCTACACTCTACTCATCTCTCTTCTGCTCTGCTTCCTCTGCTCCTTGATTTTCCTTGGCCCACCTGGCAGGGTAAACTGCCTTATCCGACAAGCTGCTTTTGGCACAATCTTCTGTGTGGCAGTTTCTTGTGTATTAGCCAAGACCATCACTGTGGTTATGGCTTTCATGGATACCAAGCCAGGGTCAAACATGAGGAAGTGGATGGGAAGAAGGCTGTCTGTCCTTGTGATCCTTTCCTCCACTTTTATCCAAGCAGGCATTTGTGCCTTATGGCTGGGAACTTTCCCCCCTTTCCCAAATATGAACATGCATTCTGTACCAGGGCAGATCATTGCAGAGTGCAACGAAGGCTCTGTCATCATGTTTTACTGTGTCCTGGCCTACATGGGACTTCTGTCCATCATCAGCTTCATGGTGGCTTTCCTTGTCAGAAAATTGCCTGACAGTTTCAATGAAGCCAAGTTCATTGTCTTCAGCATGTTAGTGTTTTGCAGTGTTTGGTTATCATTTGTTCCCACCTACCTGAGCACCAAGGGGAAATACATGGTGGCTGTGGAGATCTTCTCCATCTTAGCTTCCAGTGCTGGCTTACTTGGTTGCATATTTTTTCCCAAATGTTATGTTATTTTGCTGAAGCCTGAGCTGAACAGCAAGCAAAGTCTAATAAGGAGGAAGAAGTAATGAACCAATGTGATTGAATTCTTTGTGTTTTATTTTTATGTAACTAGTCAAGTGCTGGTACATTTAGCCATTTCCAGTATTCATCACAGGCTTCTTTATCTTTTGATTCCTTCATTCATTATCTCCCCCATCCCACACAGACACACAAAATAGATGAAATATGTCTGATCTTTGAACATTGTTTGACAATGTGATTTTGAAATCCCCATTATTGAGTCATGCACTTATGCATTAAAATATGTTTTTAATATGTCTTGTCTCATTTCGTCTCGTCTCAACTACTTTTCCCAAATGTTAGTCCACCATTCTAACCACTAAACTACAGCATCTTGGTTTTATAATAAATCAGATAATTCTGTGCACTCATTTCTGAGTAGAAATGCATAATTTTGTGCTCTCAGCTGAAAGTCTGGGATTGTATACTCATAATATTATAGAAGATCTGGCATTCACAATATCTTGGCTTTCTTGGAAAATATATTATTAAATGAGGAAGATGACTATGGATTTACAGTATATCACAGAAGTGAGTACACCCCTCACATTTTGTAAATATTTTATTATATCTTTTCATATGACAACCCTGAAGAAATGACACTTTGCTACAATTAAAGTAGTGAGTATACAGCTTGTATAACAGTGTAAATTTGCTGTCCCCCCAAAATAACTCAACACACAGCCATTAATGTCTAAACTGCTGGCAACAAAAGTGAGTACACCCTAAGTGAAACTGTCCAAATTGGGCCCAAAGTGTCAATATTTTATGTGGCCACCATTATTTTCCAGCACTGCCTTAACCCTCTTGGGCATGAAGTTCACCAGAGCTTCACAGGTTGCCACTGGAGTCCTCTTCCACTCCTCCATGATGACATCACAGAGCTGGTGGATGTTAGAGACCTTGTGCTCCTCCACCTTCCATTTTGCCCCACAGACACTCAATAGGGTTTAGGTCTGGAGACTTGCTTGGCCAGTCCATCACCTTTACCCTCAGCTTCTTTAGCAAGGCAGTGGTCATCTTGGAGGTACGTTTGGGGTTGTTATCATGTTGGAATACTGCCCTGTGGCCCAGTCCCTGAAGGGAGGGGATCATGCTCTGCTTCCGTATGTCACAGTACACCTTGGCATTCAAGGTTCCCTCAATGAACTGTAGCTCCCCAGTGCCGGCAGCACTCATGCAGCCCCAGACCATGACACTCCCACCACCATGCTTGACTGTAGGCAAGACACACTTGTCTTTGTACTCCTCACCTGGTTGTCGCCACACACGCTTGACACCATCTGAACCAAATAAGTTTATCTTGGTCTCATTAGTCCACAGGACATGGTTCCACAAATCCATGTCCTTAGTCTGCTTGTCTTCAGCAAACTGTTTGTAGGCTTTCTTGTGCATCATCTTTAGAAGATGCTTGCTTTTGGGATGACAGCCCTGCAGACCAATTTGATGCAGTTTGCTGCGTATGGTCTGAGCACTGACAGGCTGACCCACCACCCCTTCAACCTCTGCAGCAGTGCTGGCAGCACTCATACATCTATTTCCCAAAGCCAACCTCTGGATATTATTATTATTATTAAACATTTCTATGCCGCCCCTTGCCGAAGCTTCGGGGCAGCTTACAACACAATAAAATACATTGAAATACAATAGAACATAATAAATTACCATTAAATACAAAAATACAAAAAATACACTGAGATACAAACATAATAATATAAAATTAAAATTAACAGTACAAAATAAGTAAATAAAGAATATAGGAGGAGAAAAGAGAAGGAAGAAGTTGCCCTGGCCAGATCATATATTTTAACAATTAAAATGATGTTTAAATAGAAAGGTCTTTAATTCCAGGTCTTTTCCAGTGCATGCACCACCAAGACCTGGAGGGGGACATTCATGACCCCTTGCTGGAACAGAGAAAGAGGAATTCACTCATTGTGCATCTGGCCCACCACCATCTGGAGGCAAACCAGCTTGACCCATGCTGGGTTCCAAAGACTTAGCAGCCCTCTGAATAGCCAGGAACACCTTGTTGTGCCAATGTATCAGCCAACCACTATGAACCAATGCCATCTGGCAACCTCCCACTTTTGGAATAAAGCTCTGGATGCATTCCTCACTATTGGCCATGCTGGTGTGGCTGATGGGGTTGAGTTAAAAAACAAAATCTGGGGAACTAGGAAAAATGTATGAGGTTCTTGTAGCAGACATAGTATGTAAAATGATTTTAAGATTAATTTTTTGGAACCCTTAGTCGTCAGAGTGAACATTATTTTCATTCAGATGTGGTTTTTCCATGAACTTCCTAAGGAGGAAGGGGAGGGGAGGGTTGAAAGATTATAACAAGCTGCATAAATAAATGAGTTGGGAATGTGTGGTTTGGTCCAAACTATGGTGGATTGGAAAAGAATTTGGACCTCTTCCTCTGCTTTTCACATTTTGCTGAGAACATCGGATCAAAGGTCCTTCATTTTGTTTCTCTGTTCCACGTCAGCCCATTTTGACTGACCCCAAATTTTCCTAAAGATGCTCAAGATGTCATCTGAAAGGGATGGTAATTTAGATTAATCCAAGAGAGTGCTTTGGTGGAAAATGTTCCTTTTCTCCTGGAATGTGCCTAAAAGGATGACATTTGGTACTGTAGAGATAACATTTTCCACTGCAAAACCCCATCCTCAATCCACTGAATATTCTACATGGCTTATAGAGAGCATGAGGAAGAAAAGAATCCCACATAATCAGGCTGAACCACCTTCTAGGGCAAGAACATTTCCATCCATGGAAGGCAAATCCCTGGACTGCAGAATCCAAGATTCATCCATTCCTATACACAACTGTATTAATGCGTGAACCCAGCTATACTATATATGGCTACTTAGCAAGGTGTTCTGGATCAGGACCAAACCTTCATCTCCTGCTAAGCGCCTATTTGGAATGATATGATAAGCTTGGTTTGTCTTAGTTTCAGTATTTCACAATTTATTTTCTCTTCAAAAGAAGTGTAGGACCCCCAGGGGACATGGGGAGTTTTTGCCTGGCTTCAGATTCACTTCCTCCCACTGTGTCTCTGTGTAATACAGGGCCATGTCTTCAGCTTTCAGATTGTTCATTTGCAGATACAGCATGCTGGAGGGGTTTTCTCTGGAGATGGTGAAGCGCCCCTTCACCTTGTCTGCATAGAACTGCATGCTCCCACTTTCATATATCCTTGCAATCCATGCCAGTCCCTTTCCAGGAGCTTGTCTCACCCAGGACATTTCATAGTTACTGAAGGTGAAGTCAGATGCCTGACAAGACAGGTGCAGAGATGTTCCTGGCCTTTTAACTTCCCCTCCTGATTCCACCAACTGGACATCTGATTGGACACCTGGAAAGAAAAGCATGTGAAAGAGGGCTTCTGCATAGATTAAACCAGAGCGTCAAAGCATCTTCTGTATGTACAAGGAGGAAAATTTCCTTGAAAGACTGCTAGAAAGAAAAATAATTGCAACCAAAGGAACATTCTTCCTTCTCTCATTTGAGGGAGATTGACTGGATACTGGTCAGAAAGGCAGAAGGAGTCTGGACTGTAATCTGCAGAGGGAGATTGTGTGCCTGATTTAAAGAGGAAGCTGTCAGAGAATTTGCATATACAACAAGATAAAGGAGCAACGCAATGGGCACTAATTCTTTGTACATGTATATGGTCTGGAGTTGATAACCAACTCCTCAGAATAGCTATGGATGTGAATAGTGAGGGAATTAAGGATTATCACATGAGGCAAAGATGCATTTAGGTTAAAATTAAGTTAGAAGAGAGAAAAATCAGGATCTTAGGACCAAAGGGGGGAAATTTTAAATCACTTCTTCAACCAAGGAAGAGAAGACTTCCACCAAATACCACGCAAGAAGAAATATACTGGAGACAATTGTGGAATCAGCCTAGAGAAAGTTATGCCAACTGTGCCTCGTGTCTTTGTGCCCACCCTAAACAAAAAGGAGACATGGGAATGGGATTTATTGTGGTCTATGGAGATGCTAAGTCTCTCTATCCAGTCTCCTTCTCCACGTGACCTAGAGTGTTTGTTATGGACTAGTGGGACAGATCAGGGATTCTGCTGATATAATATTGATACTTTGATCCAACAATCTTCCTACATATGCTGACAGAAGTTATCTTGGTTGCACTATTGAAGTCCCCTAGCCTGTTGATCCCAGGGGACATCAATATCTGTGCCAAAAGCACCTAGTTCTGGGTGGTTCATGTTTTCATGGTTTCCATGGATTCCACCAATGAGAAACTGGAGTACATCTCATTGGGAAGCTAGGGAAACCTATGGGATTCTTGATTACACATGCCTTCATTTGAGATTGACTTAAAAACAAGACAAATTATCTGAATTCCCATCTGCTGAACCCTGTGTCTCCATGTTGATGCACTGTCTCCATGGCCTTCCTCAGGTTTTATACATGCAGGGTATGCCTTCTGTTTCTTTCTCTCCCTACACAAATTATGGGATATTTATGGTTGGCCACTCTGAGAACAGACAGTGAATCAAGGATGATGAAAATGTATCTGTGCAGTGAGGAATTATTTCTGCTCCTCAGGAAGTGGGGATATTCTTCAACTCTGGAGAAATAATTCTGTTAGAGTCTCTTGGGGACTTAAACTCTCAAGGGGCAGGCACAGCTTTCAAACAAACTGCTCAGGAAAGCATGATTTTGCAAGCTGAATGCCCATTTTTAGATAATAATTCTAATTTCCTAAGGCCAACTGTGATTTGCAGGTCTCTACTGCCTCCATGTGTGGTGCTGATGGAGGAGCTTTTTCAGTTCTGGTTATATGAGGAAGAGCTTCAGCTGCAATGTGGTAATTGAGACTGGGATGAGCTCTTTGAGTTGCAAGAAAAGGCATTAGAGCATACTGTGGAATTAATCCATTTGTGCCCCTTCACATATTGCACACAGTAATGTAAAGTGACATCAAACGTGCCACTGAGCCCACTACTTGATGAGATGTACAAGCATTCCCTGTCCTCCTCTCATTTATTGCAGCTGGTAGACCTCAGTGGCTGCAGCCAAGAAATTAAAAGATGCTTGCTCCTTGGGAGGAAAGCTATGGCAAATCTAGACAGCATCCTAAAAAGCAGAGAAA